AAAAATAAAAAAAATAAATGAAGTATTGTGAGGAGTTCAGAGGAATTTGAGATCAGCAAATGGTTTCTGAAGTGTAGGGAAGATTTTGTAGAAATGGGACTTAATATATATAAAAGTTGAATAATAAGGATTTGAATGAAAGAGGCAGTTCTTTCTCTTTTCCCTACCAGCCCAGCTTCTTATTTCTTTGAGTATATATTAGGCAAAGGGACCTTCAGACGAGTTAAAGGGATATTTTTACAGAAGACTGATAGCCAATTACAAGGGCCTTAAAGACCAGAACAGAGAGCTGAGACAGAGAAAATAGGGAGCCTGTAGGCTTTTGAACAGGATGTCGATGCTTTACATGTGGTATTTATGAAAGGTTGGTCCGGAAGAGTTCTATAGAATGGAGACCCTAGAAGTTCTTTTGCTGTAATACGGAAAGGCCTGTACTAAAGGTGTGGTGTTGGTAATAAACAGGTTAGTAGATGTTTAAATATCTTTAAGGAAAAATTAACCGATCTTGGCAGGTAAACATGTAGACTGAAAAAGAATGGGTACAAGATTTTGAGCTTTGGAGACTGGCAGATTGAACAGAGACTGGGGAAATTGAGTAGGAGAATTAACGTGGTAAGTTTGATATTTGGACAAGTTGGTCTTGATATGGTAAAGTCATAGTGAGAATAGCTAGCAGTAAGGAATTAGAGATACAGGCCCCAAGTCCAGATCAAAGGACAGGTCTCAGATACAGGTCAGGGCATTTTCACTGGGGTTCCAGTACCATAGAGGTGTACCCTACGAGCTGTTGCTGAGAGGTCCAGGCCAGAGTGTGAGTGAGACTTTCCCCTTGAATCAGCCAGAGTTACTAAATCTTTTTTTTAATCTCCTTTAGATATCTATCTAGATTTAGGTACCTATATTTTTTAGAGTTTTATCTATTTTACAGATGTGTTAGGGTCTCACTTAAGTTTATTTGGGGGAAAAAGAGGAGTGCTTACAGGTTTAAATAATATGTTTGGAAAAGATGGCTCCAGTAATAATTAAAGGTTTGAGAATAAATGTTTCTAGCAGAAAGAATAAAAGAACAGAGAACCTCAGGAAGAGGAGTCATGGAAAGAGACCATATCTGACATAGTGGGCCTTTTTTTTTTTTAATTTCTTTTTTAAGATTTTATTTATTTATTTGTCAGAGAGCGCACAAGCAGGGGGAGCGGCAGGTAGAGGGAGAAGCAGGCTCCCCACTGAGCAGGGAGCCCAACTCAGGGCTCAGTCCCAGGAACCTGGGATCATGACCTGAGCCGAAGGCAGACGCTTAACCGACTGAGCCACCCAGGTGCCCCTAGTGGGCATTTAATAACTGTGTTCTAAGGGCTTGAGAGGCAGGCACAGATAGAAAAGGAAACTAAGGAGCAGGTAGTACCATGGAGACCAAAGGAAGATAGACTATCTGGAAGCAACATCTAAAATAAGTTAATAGTTCTAATAGAGAAGCTCAGAAAGAGGAGGAAAAAAAAGCCTTGCACAAAAATATTAATGGCATTTTGTATCATCATACATACCTAATTAGGAAACAATTAGAAAGTCTTATCATTCTTATAGAATGATATTTGTAGCTTGTTGTCTATAGAAAAAACCTAGCTATTACTGTTTATAAACTTGCTGAAATGATTTTGCTTTCTTCAGTTTATCATGAAAATTTAAAAAAAAGACTTTCTTCTAAAATTAAAAATTTCAGGATGCCTGGGTGGCTCAGTCGGTTGAGCGTCCACCTTCAGCTCAGGTCATGATCCCAGGGTCCTGGAATCGAGCCCCACATCAGGCTCCCTGCCCAGCGAGGAGCCTGCTTCTCCCTCTGCCTGCCACTCCCCCTGCTTGTGCTTTCTCTCTCTGTCCCTAATAAATAAATAAAATCTTTTAAATAAATAAATGAAATTAAAAATTTCTTGAAGACAACTCAGTTGCATCATTCTCCCACCTCTCGTTGAATGACTAGTAAATATAGATACCTGGCAGACAGGTATGGACATTCACGTTCTTACCTGCTTAATATTTATAAAAGCATCTCAAAGAGTAATAGACTGAATTACATTACTATGTATTCTTCATAAGAAATATTGCCTGGTATTACTCAGATTCTGTGTCTGGGAACTGCTTGCTGAGATGAGAGCACTTATCTGTTGACAATGTAATAAAAAAATGGTGCTAGTAGCTTCAAGTTTGGTTCTCTGAGAGTATTTATCTTGAGGCTGACCTGTATCATTTCTGTCTTTTTTATTTTTAAGATTTTATTTATTTGTCAGAGAGAGAGAGTGCACAAGCAGAGGGAGGTGCAGAGGGAGAAGCAGGCTCCCTGCCCTGATGCAGGACTCGATCCCAGGACCCTGGGATCACGACCTAAGCTGAAGACAGACACTTAACCGGCTGAGCCACCCAGGCATCCCTTCTGTCCTTGCTATAGCAATGTACTAGGCCGACACTTCTTAAAAACCTTTAATAAGAGTCATTAATATTTGTGTGGAATAAATAGGAGAGGTAGAATGTTGATCCAGCTGTAGCAACAAGGTCACAGGACTACTTTGACAATATTGTGATACTGAGTTGTTTATATCCTATTAACATGTTAATGGGTAACCTCTTTATTCTGATGTCAATAGGATATTTCTTCAGACTACTAAAGAAAATGTATTTTGTGAATTTTTTAAGTGTGCTTTATCTTTAAGCAGCTTGAACTTTGATCATAAAAGTTTTTCATTAGAGAAATTTTGTTACCCAATTAAAAAGTAAAATAAGGGAACGCCTGGGTGGCTCAGTCAGTTAAGCGTCTGCCTTCGGCTCAGGTCATGATCCCAGGGTCCTGGGATCGAGTCCCTCATCGGGCTCCTTGCTTAGCAGGGAGCCTGCTTCTCCCTCTGCCTGCCGCTCCCCCCTGCTTGTGAGCTCTCTTTCTCTCTGACAAATAAATAAATAAAATCTTTAAAAAAGTAAAATAAGTATTCTGAGGAGTATTTTTCTCATTTTTACCCCATTCCACAAGTTTAGTTTTGTTCCTTGGACAAAAAAGGATTAAGGAATTGGAAAGGGTCCATAGGGGCACCTGGGTGGCTCAGTTGTTAAGCATCTGCCTTCAGCTCAGGTCATGATCCCAGGGTCCTGGGATTGAACCCCACTTCGGACTCCTGCTCGGCGGGAAGCCTACTTCTCCCTCTCCCATGCCCCCTGCTTGTGTTCCCTCTCTCGGAGTCTGTCTCTCTGTCAAATAAATAAATAAAATCTTAAAAAATAAAAAAACCAGAAAAGGGTCCATATATTAGAATGTTTTCTGGCTTTGGTACTTTCTGTCATCAGTAGAAGTTCTCAAAGAAACATCTCTGTTTTAAGTTCCATTTTTGGCACAGTATTTTGAGAGTTATAAATAATAATAGGACATTTCTTTCCAGTTTTCTGCTGCTTGATTGCCTTTCCCCTAAGTACTTTTTGTTGAGTGTGCATACTTAAGAGAGGTGTTTACAAAATTTAATTTTTAAAGTTCTCTTAAAGCCCTTTATGAGACATTTTTAGGCTATCAAATTGTGCTAAATTTTTAACCTTTTTTCTTTTTTTAAAAAATTATAGCTTCAATATCTGTACATTCCCCACAAAAAAGCACTAAAAATCATGCCTTGCTGGAGGCGGCAGGACCAAGTCATGTTGCAATCAATGCCATTTCTGCCAACATGGACTCCTTTTCAAGTAGCAGGACAGCGACACTTAAGAAACAGCCAAGCCACATGGAGGCTGCTCATTTTGGTGACCTGGGTAAGTGACTCACTTTTTGTTAACGTCCAACAGGAAGAAGGATTGATTGTATTATGTGAAACTCTTGCTGGAGGATACTAGAACTGTATAATGGGAATGGACTTTGAAAAAATGTATTTAAAATAACAGCTATAGGGGGGCCTGGCTGGCTTGCTCAGTCAGTAGAGCATGTGACTCTTGATCTGAGGGTTGTGAGTTCAGTCCCCACATTGGGCATGGAGCCTATTTAAAAAAATAAATAAAATTTAAAAAATAAAATAACAGCTGTAAGTATAATGATACTCTATTGTGTTCCCATAAGCATAAAATATAAAGCATTCTCAACTTAAAAAAAAAATGGGCCATGTACAGGGGAAGAAATACATTTGGTCACTAATATGAAAAACATGCCTCATTTCACTCATACTCAGGGAAACGCAAATTTTAGTAATGAGATAATGTTCCCCCAACATATCAGCAAATATTAAAGTTTGATCATTTGAGTGGTAATGGAGATGAAGAGAAATGGCCATTCCTATTTAGTGGAAGTGTAAATTGATGAAGATTTTTTGGAAGGCAGTTTGGAAATATTTATCACAATATAAAATAGAAGATCTAGCCCTCAGATGTATTCACATATATGCAAAGAGATGTATATACAAGTATGTATAAAACTGTTTATTGCAGTATTGTTTGTGAAAGCAAAAAAATGAGGAACAACATGCAAATATCTATTAATGGAAAAGTAGTCAAATTGTGGTATACCTGCATCTAGAATACTGGGGAGCCATTTAAAAGTCTGAAGATGACATAGAGAAATATCTAAGGTTAAAGTGCAAAAAGCAGGTCACATAGCAATGAATGTAGTAGGATCCCTATTATGTTAAAATAACTTCTCCTTTCCCCCCACCCGCCCCCAAAAAAGATATGCAAGAGATCGATGATTTCTGAATTTTTATTACCCAAAGTTCACTTACAAAAATTGCATGTCATGGTATCATAAATTGAAAAAAAAATGAATAAATTGATGTCTAATAAAATTAGTTCCTCTTTTGACATATTTGCTTAACATGTATATATTCAGGGGTGTCAAAGTGTTGATGGGTCATGCTCAGCAGTACATTGCAAACAGCATTTGTTGATCACAAAGTAAAATTGTAAGTTTTACTTGATTACTCCTATGTTGCTGGTGGGAATGTGAAATGGTACAGCCACTCTGGAAAACAGTTTGGCAGTTTCTTCGAGAGCTAAACATGCAGTTGTCATACGACCCTGCAATTGCACTCTTCGGCCTTTATCCCAGAGAAATGGAAACTTACATTCACGCATAAACCTATACTCCAATGTCCATAGCAGCTTAAAAGTAAAAAACTGTCTTTCAGCAGGCAAGTGAATGGTTAAACAAACTGGTACGTGCATGCCAGAGAATACTAGTCAGCAATAAAAAAGAGCAGACTGTTGATACACCTGACAGCTTGCATGAATCCCAAGGGAATTATGCTGAGCGTCAAAAGCCAATCCCCCCCCCAAAAAAAAAAAAAAAAAGCCAATCCCAAAAGGTTATATGCAGTATGATTCCATTTGTATAATATTCTTGAAATGACAAAATTAGAGAAATGAAGAACAGAGGAGAGTTTGCCAGAGGTTAAGAATGGAAGAGTTAGTTATAAAAGGCCACATGAGGGATCCACGTGGCATTGGAACTGTTCAGTATCTTGGTGGTTACATATGATAAAATTGCATAGATTCCATTGCATAGAATGAAGTCTACAGGTGAGTACAGGGGAAATGGGGAAATCTGAGTAAGATTGGTGGGTCATACCTTGTAAGATTGTGAATGTCGGTACCTTGATGTGATACTGTACTATAGTATTGTAAAATGTTACCATGGGGAACCTGGGTAAAGAGTACATGGGATGTCTCTGTGTTGTGTCTTACAAGTGTATTTGAATTTACTGTTATCTCAAAATTAAGAATTTAATTTAAAAAATTGTAAATCTTGCAAAGGATCAGGATTTCCTGAAGTTCAAGGAAGTGATGTTGACAGAGATGCACTGGTTAACATTGAAAATGAGACAGCCGGGGGGTGCCTGGGTGGCACAGTCGGTTAAGCGCCCCACTCTTGATTTCGGCTCAGATCATGATCTCAGGGTCGTGAGATAGAGCCCCATGTTGGGCTGTGCTTGCTCAAGTGTGCCCTCTCTCTCAAAAAAAGAAAAAGAAAATGAGACAGCCAGCAAGGATGACACATGAAATGCTTCAAAAGAAAATGATTTGAATATCAAAGGATTAAAAAAAGCCCTTTTGAAAAATTGATGAAACCCTGTTAATTTTATGAAGATGAACCTCAATATGTCAATGCCGTAAATATAAACAACAACAACAAAATAACTGTGGTTATAATGGTAACCTAAATTTAGTTACATATAAAATGAACTTACTAAGTTTTGGTAAGTTTCATTTTATTTTTTCAAGATAAAATCCCAGAGCTACTCTTTATTCTGTTGTAACAAATGCTGAGAGCTGGTAACATCTTTCTGGCTGTATCCACACATGGACCATTTTTCCTCAGGAAAAGTTCCTAGAGGTGGAGTTACTGGATTGCAGATCATGCAGATTATTAGAGCTTTGCTGTTATGAATGCTCCTCCAAAGAGGTTTTGCCATTTTTTATTTTCATCATCAGTGGGTGCCAGTGTTGCCTGTTCTGCTGTGCCTTTGTTTTTGATATTTTTTGAAAAAACATCTTCCAGTTTGACAAAAATGTTATCTTGTATTAATTTCCTTTTCTGCATTTTTAATTAGATTGAATCTATTTTCATATTTTTATTGGCCTTCTTTCTTTGGGACTAGTATCGTAAGATTTTTTTTTTTCTCAAGAATTTACATGGTCTGAACTGCCATTAAAAGTTAGGTAAAGGGGCGCCTGGGTGGCTCAGTCGTTAAGCATCTGCCTTCGACTCAGGTCATGATTCCAGAGTGCTGGGATCGAGCCCCACATCGGGCTCCCTGCTTGGCGGGAAGCCTGCTTCTCCCTCTCTCCCACTCCCCCTGCTTGTGTTCCCTCTCTAGCTGTCTCTCTCTCTGTCAAATAAATAAATAAAATCTTTAAAAAAAATAATTGAGCTAGAGCTTTTTAATAGATGGATTAAGTTTTGGAGACTTGTTTCTTTGCCACTTTAGAAGCCACAATGATAGTATTTCTAGCTCTTTATTCATTTAAATTGCTAGGGAAATAAACTTTATTCAAGAATTCTGGTACCACTGATGCTAAAGGTGGCTGACAAATCCGTTAATCTTAAATTGTTACTGAACTGCTAATCTTTGCTTCTTTCAGGCAGATCTTGTCTGGACTACCAGACTCAAGAGACCAAATCAAGTCTTTCAAAGACCCTTGAACAAGTCTTGCGCGACACTGTTGTCCTCCCTTATTTCATTCAATTCATGGAACTTCGGAGAATGGAGCATTTGGTTAAATTTTGGTTAGAAGCTGAAAGTTTTCACTCTACAACTTGGTCCCGAATAAGAGCACACAGTCTGAACACTGTGAAGCAGAGCTCATTGGCTGAGCCTGTCTCTCCATCTAAAAAGCATGAAACTGCAACATCTTTTGTAACTGAGTCTCTTGACAAGAGATTGGAGGGTTCTAGCCCAGCCCAATTGCTTATGACCCAATCCGAAGGAATTGACCTGAACAGTAGAACTAGCAACATTCAGAATCACTTGCTGCTTTCCCGGGAATGTGACCATGCCCATTCTCTCCATCTTGAAATGGCCAGAACAGGAACGCATCAAATTTCCATGGAAACCCAAGAATCCTCCTCCAGACTTCTAGTAGCCAGTAGAAATAGTCCCTCTTCACCACTAAAGGAATTATCAGGAAAATTAATGAAAAGTAAGTATGTGGTTTTCTTGTCTATTTATCCTGTTTGTTTAATCAGTTTACAAAGTGGAACTTGAGGTGGGGAATAAAAGGATTGGAATGGTTTTCCTTTCTCTCACACCCACTTGCAAATTTGGAAGGATTTGGAGAATGTCCTGGAGGAGGATTGGTATATGAAAAAGGAACAGCAGGGATACATACCTACAGTGATTGGATCCTCTCAGAAGGGTATTAACAGAATTAACAAATGAAGAAGGGTCAAGTGTCATCCTACCTTTGCCATCCAGAGATTTTGAAATCAAATCATTATCCAGAGATGCTTATTTCATCCTCATCTCTCCTTTTTTTTTTCTTTTTTTACTGTTCTGTTAATCACCATACATTACATCAATAGTTTTTGATGTAGTGTTCCATGATTCATTGTTTGTGTATAACACCCAGTGCTCCATGCAGAACGTGCCCTCCTTAATACCCATCACCAGGCTAACCCATCCTCCCACCCCTTTTCCCTCTAGAACCCTCAGTTTGTTTTTCAGAGTCCAT